TGCATAGTAGGCACGTGCCACAGACTGGCATTGTATAAAAACAAGACACTGCTGCCTTGTAGAGCCTGCATTTTAGTTGGGTGAGAATACCAGACAGCATGCATTGGGTGGAAAAGAGCTGAATGAAGTACTCCTTGTCAGGGAGCTTACAGTCTGGGCATAAAGTAACAAATGCGATCATCACGATCTCGAATGATAGTGATAACTTTCTCCATCAAGGAGACCACTTTGGGCTGGAGAGATGGATGGATCAGTGAGTGAAAGAACTACTCCTGCAAGCATGAAGACATGAGTTCAAATCACCAGCATCAGGGCTTCACGTGTCTGTAACACCAGTGTTGGGAATGGAGAAGAGTGGATACCAGAAGCGTTTTAGCCAGCCAGCCAGCCAGCATGACAAGCTCCTGGTTAGGGAGAAACCTTGTCTCAAGGGAATGCAAGAAACAGAGGAAAGCACCCAGTGTCCCCATGACCTCCACAAGTGGCCCCTCATGCACGCACATGTGTTTGCACACGCCACACACGAAAAGAATTTAAAGAACAAACCGCTTGGAGTAGTTACTTCTTGTTGACCTAATGTGTTCCAGGATCGTGTTTCTTGCCTCCCATAAGCATTTCCTGTGGTGATGAGGGAAGGACAACCACTCGATGTTTCTGGCTTCTTTGGCATGTTTTATCAGAGCGTATGTTTTTTTCTGGAATAGTTGAATTGTAGCCTAGGTTTGTAGTTATCAGGAACTTCCTGTTGACAGTGTTGAAGAGGACTCGCTAAGAAGGGAAGGCCCTGGATGGCTGCGTAAACTGGATCTCTGGAACTCGACGGCTCTCTCCTCTCCCCTCTGCAGCAGCAACTGCAGCAGCAATATACTGAAATCATGGCATGATTTACCTTAATTAGCATAGCAAATTGCCTCACATTTTCAAAAAGTGCTAATAGATGTTAACTCAAAATAGATTAAAATACCAGACAAATTGTACTACCTTAAAAAGAGTTATAATAATCTTGAAAATGTAGAGCATAGCTATGCTGTCTTGGGAGGGAATGAAAAAATCGAATCTTTCTTGTATACTTTTTAAAAAACCTGGGGCATATGCTTTTTTTCCTTTTAATCACAGTAATTTCTTCAAATAACATTTCTGAGTTTTTCTTTACGAAGACACTTCATTTTCCCAAATCTCAAGTGAAGTAAATTAGTTGCCATTGAGTTTTCCAAAAAAAAAAAAAAGAAGAAGGAATTGAATTTTACAGAAAGATATTATGAGGGACAGTGTTTAAACACATTATATTACATGCATTAGGGGATGTTCCTTCACCCTAGCAAGTGGAATGGCACAGGACAAAATGGCTGCAGGCGTGAGTGTTGGCCTAAGATTAAAGATGACTTGGTTTTTCCTGGTGTCTCACACCAGGCTCAAGCTCCCCTGTGACACCAGAGCACTTCTAGAGTCTCCATGAAAAGAAGTAAGGGTCACGTGAGCTTCTGAGGAGCCAGTGAGCTTAACAGGCTATAAAATCTACCATTAGCACCACCAGGAGACATTGTAAGTCAAAAATAGAACCTCCCCTGTTGGGAGCACACAGGGCATCCTCCCTGCGTAACAGTTCCCCAGCGAAGGTCTAAAATGGGATGTTTGCATGTTCTTCTCTACTCTGTTGCAGTTACCAAAGGTGTTGCTTAGGAGATGCGCGTGGTCTTCTGAAGACCACCATTGCCATCCCGTGTGCAGCTACCCGAGGCCAGCTAGCTGCTTATTCTTACCCATATCCTAGGAAAGTCAGAGGATTCCCATGACATCATCTCTATTCTTACATACAGGTTTACCTTGCTTCATGCAAAAAAAAAAAAAAATAGATAAAGCGAATCTGTTAAATCAAAAGAAGCATATTAGGGGAGCTGATGAAATAAATTAACCCTCCCATGAAAGGCTTTGCTAATGTGAAAAATTATTACCTAATTTATATACTTCATAAATCCATGTCTCTGTGCATCGAGTTTGTTTGAGGTGAATTATATATCTCTTTCTGGAGAAGTTATGCACTGGTGTTTTTTTTTTTTTTTCTTTTTAAAAACTGATTCTCCAGAAGAAATTGCTGTCAGCCCTGTGCCCAGAGCCGTCCTTGACTGTGTGGATGAGAGGGAGGTGTACCAGTGCCCTACTCCACCTTTCTTTTTACTTGGTAGCTCCGTCCTGCTAGGTGACGCGACCTGCGTGGTCTAGCATCCCTTCCCCAGGGTCCTCCCTGACTCACACGGCTTCTGTGCCCCCTTAGAGGCTGCTTTCATCCAGGTGTGTGAGGAGCACTGTTCCCTGACCTGAGGCAGATATGAACCCTGCAAGTATTGTAGAACAGGTCTTCTTAAACTCTGGTCACTCACAGCCCTTTTCATCGTGGGGAATGTTACATGACCCTGAGCATACACATTAATAAAATAGGCCTATAACCCGGGCGGTGGTGGCGCACGCCTTTAATCCCAGCACTTGGGAGACAGAAACAGGTGGATCTCTGTGAGTTCGAGGCCAGGCTGGACCGACAGCCTCCAAAACAATACAGAGAAACCCTGTCTCGTAAAACCAAAAAAAAATATGCCTATAAATCAAACATTTACTGATCAGAGACCATAGAGAAATCCATCTAAAAATAATACTTTGGCATACAAATAATTTTAAGGCTTTTTAAAAGATGAAAGCAAGTTCCTCCCTGCTGAGGTGGGTGAACTTGTTATCAGAAGGATTCAGTCTTGGCTGAGTGTGTGTGACTGTGTGTCACAGAGTATCTTCAGTGTTTTTCGGAGGGACTGAGACTTAGTTTTTATGATTGTCTGCGATAGAGACATAAATATATAATCTGTAGTTCAAAACAGCAAAATTATTGCAGGTTGTCCTAATCCCATGCCAAAATTCATTTACGAAATTTTTTAATCAAACTCAGACAACAGTTTTTTGGGGGGGCGGGATTTGAGACAGGGTTTCTCTGTGTAGCCATTATAAGAGCAGAGAACCTTGAATATGCAGTACAAACACTGCAGCTCCTAGCAGAGCCGCCTCGACTCTGAGACCGTGTGTTTCAGGCAGCCGTCCTCACTGGAGCCATGTGGCGTGGCACATCCTCACTGGAGCCGTGTGGCGTGGCACACACAGGACAAAGTCCACATGCAGGGGGTTCAGGGCCAAGGGCCTCCGTAGACTCACCCCGTGCAATATGGACACGCGCTGGCAGCAACATCTAGATTCAATTAGCATTTAGTTTTAAATCAATATTCAGCCCTTGCATGCCCAGAAACCACCTGCTGTCAGACTTTAAAACTCTCCCATTCAGCTACCCAGCTCTTTTGAAGAAGCTGGGCTGCTGGCTCTAGAGATGGCCACGTGGAACAGTCTTCTTGCCTGTGAAGTGTCCTAAAGATTGCTCCGCTGTGATTGTTATCTCGAGGCTATGGTGACCGCCATGCGGAGGTTTACTTCTGATACATCTAGAAGTGAGTGGTGCTGCAAGGATAGGGTTGTCTCATACATCCCTCGTTAACCCTTGCAGTCAGTAACTCTCCAGTGAGAACCTACTGCAATAACCACACTGCCGTTTAGGGGTTTCCCTATATCAATCATGGTGCTAGGCATAAGATTACATCTAAGCCTTGCAACAAGTCTACAGTGTAAGTCCCTTTGCCTTATTTTCGTAGCTGAGGAATCCAATTCTAAATTTAAGGAAAAAAGGAAAGAAAGCAGGATTGATTTGAACAAGTACATCATAACTAGAGAAAATTTCTGACAGCTGGGCATGGTGGTTCACGCCTAGAATCCCAGTCTTGGAAGATTTGGCATCTTGTGCTTGATGCCTAGCCATGGTAAGAGCCTGTCTTAAACCCTCGGGTAAAGATTCAGTCACCAGCACAATGTGATCGTAGCAATTCTCAGTATTAAACAAAAGTAACAGCCTCCCCGACTTTCAGATCGCCTGTTTAGAAAAGTGCAGACAAGCAGACGTCACAATCATTGTACTTCTAAGCAGGGATCCAAGGGCTTCCGTGGTTGTTCAGTTTTTTGTTTTTTGCTTATGGTGGTGATGATTTTCAATAATGAACATCAAGAGGGATGCTCAAAAATGTTTACCACAAATACCTTCCTTCAGACTTAACTCAGTGTAGCTTACACAGCACAAATGAAATATTGGTGCATCTGATAATGCCCAGGTGTTCAATAAAGAGTTTTAAATAAAGCTACCTATAGGTTGCGGTTCTTAGGTTAATCATTTATTTATCTAAAGGATGAGGAAAGCTGTCTACTTCTGTGATACAAACCGCAGTCAGCTTAAAAATCATTGACAAATTAATCCCTTCACCACACAGCAACTGTAAAGGTGTTAGCTTTAATTAGGCCTGTCTGATTGCCTTGTCTAATCAAGAATCACGGTGGATTCCGCGATGGCTAAGGTCTGTTGGGGCCATCCCTGACCTGCCAGCCACATAAGTTTTCATTATTGATTCCTCACATTTCAGCCCTTCTCACAAAGGGACTTGAGGTTTGCAATGCCTTAACATTTAAAGGGAAGAAAAATAAACATTTTCCCTTGCACTTCTATCTAGAATCCTGTGTATCTTTCCCCCACTGTAAAGTGTTCGTCCTAGAAAGGCTCTCCTGTGGGTGAGGAAGCCAAAGGTACCCGAGAATGCTGTCTTACTGCCCCCCCAGCCCTCCATGATGGGTGTTTTTAATGGACGTTGTTGAGGTCTTGGCAAATCAGTCAGACAGTTACGTTTAGCAGGTACATTTGATTTTGTGACATCATGCTTAATTTAAAAATCCATAGGAGCAGATGGAGTCCTGGGAAACCAGAGGAGTCAGACAAAAGGGAAACACACGTGTCCAGACATACATACGTGTCTTAGCATGCGTGCTAAGTGGAAAGGAATCCGGGGTTCCTTGTTGCATTTGCACACCAGAGGGAGGTTGGCATGGTGTCGGTGGCCCTCTGTGTGACTATGATTCTTCTTCACTCACAGGTCAACGAAGTGACAGTCGAGCAGCTGGTGCAGCAGTACCCGCACATCACCTTCAGCACTGTCCTGCAGGACTGCAAGAGGACCTTGGAGAGAGCCTACCAGATGGGCTGGACCCCCAATATGTCTGCCGCCTCCTCCTAACGCTCTTGCCCAGGCCTGGGCCTCCTCAGGTCATAGAGCAAGGCAGAGAAATGGGAGGAGGGGGTGTGGCTGGGGAAGGGAAACTTCTGGAAAGGTTTTAACCACCTGTCCGTGTCTGTGCCCGTGTTATATCTGTGTCTTGTTTGCATTCTGCATAGCATAAGTGCACTTGGTATGTCCCCAGGTGAGCTGGCTGGCTTTCCTAAAAATGGAAGATTATGAAAACCACAAAAACTGTTTTTCTAACTCAAAAGTTTATTTCTCTAAAAAAGACTCTGTGAAGTCTCAAGCCAGAAAACTGGGTGTGTTATTTTGAGCTTCCAAGTTCCGCCACATCTCGGAGACGCTGGGTAAAAGGTTTTCTTTTGTGATGGAATACACTGTTCACTTCCGGTGAGGCCAGAACAGAAGTGATATCCCTCTAACTAGAAGCCTGGAGACTAGTACCTTCAAAACCCTGGAACATACACCTGCAATTCCACTCTCCCTTGTCCTCCTGCCTGTGCACACATGCTAAGTGAACTTCTTGATAAGTTATTTCCTAGCAGAGGGACCTTCCTGGAGGCCGTGGAGGGAGCATCCCATCCCTGACGGTAATGGCTGACTCACAGTGCCCACAGGTGGTCATCTTGCTGTCCCATGGGTAATTTAGAAACTAGGGAGAATAAAGCCTTTTGTAAATTTGTATATGGAGGCAACAATCTGAAGTTCCCTGGCCAGCTCACAAAAGTTAATTATTCATTATTCTGTAAATGCATTCTGTTGAGTAATAAATATTTTAGTTGGTTTTACATTAACACTGTGTTAGCTTTTACTTTGTGGGTAGTTACTGGTCAGGGTATATTTTAGTGACATTTGGGGCTAATCCTAGTGTTATCCACATTGAAGCCACGAGTGTGAATTAATGGTATGCAGTTATTTTAAAAATTTTTACAGATCATTTCATTATTTTGATAATTATGAAAATATATTCTGAGGTGCAGTAGTCACGTTAATAGAAGATTAATGAATGGGATGTAAGTAGACAATCTTCCTATTGAATATTTTCTTTTGCTTTGGGATTTAGAACAGGATTTTTGGATATGTGCATGTTATAATTTTGAATAGGTCTTACACTGCTGCAAAGGTCTACTGTTAGCAAATGTGTGGATTAAGGAGAGATTTAGAAAAGCCATTTACACATGCCAGAAATAAGTATTTTAGTTTGATTAAATATTACCATCATTTAGTTATCTCATTACTTATCAGAAAATGAGTGTCTGTTTTGATTTCAGGCATCTTTATAGTTAATTCATTGTAGGGACTCGGGTTCCAATAGCCTCTCCTGTGTCTAGATCTATAATCAGGCTGTAGGGAGCCTTTTTAAGCTAAAGAGTGATTATCTTTCCTAGTAGGAGAAGCAAAACCTTGACTTTTGAACTTGCTATTTATTCTCCCCTTATGTGGCCTTTGGTCTTTAACAATTATAATGAGGTTTGACTTTATTCCCTATGACCTCCAGTGCATCTGGAGTGACTGGAGCTGTAAGAAGCAGAAGCAGCCTTACAACGCCACCTGCGCATGTCTGCTCCCTGCCTGTCTGTAGAAGATGTGTGTCAACATGCTTCTGAGGGGCTCTTTTTGTTCCGTTTTAATTCCACCCAGTTCAAAATAGATGCACTGAACAAGTACCAGGAATATTTTTTTCACAACCAAACAGGTTGAATGTTTAAAATTTGTCAAAGATCAAACAATTTACCATTAGAAAACTACATTTCCTCTTATACATCAAACTGTATCATTTTATATTCATTTCTCCACTACTTAAAAAAATGGTATTTCATAATATTTTAACTGGTTTTTAACCCAAAACTAATTTATAAGACTGTATGTATAGGAATAGTAGCTTGAGTGAATAAACAAAAGTTTAATTTTTATATATGTCACACTATATTTTAAATAGTTACAGAAAGACAAAAGAAGGGAAAAGTCATCTTTGCTATAAATGGTACAATTTCAGTTCAGAGTTGTAATCATCTTTGGAGTGGTACAGTTGTCAGTGGTTTCAGAGTGTGGAACTGATTCTGTAATGTTACCTGCACTCTAACACGCTTTAGCTTGGGGTTGGGGGGGCTGCACTTACTCTCCAAGATGCTGACTAATACAGAAAGCCTGACGCAACAGAACTCGGAACACTGCTTTGGTTCATTTATAGAAATCTGTAGAAATATCATATCTAGCCTCAAAGTATTAATCTCATAAAAAAGCAGCTAAGAAAAGCATCACCTCAAGTGACGCTGTGGGGCTTGTTGAATGTGCTCTCATTAGATGCTTTGAAATGAGGCTTAAAATACTTTTTCTGGGCAATATAGTTCTGTAGTTCCTTTTTTCCCCCTTAGACTGTCATAAATACATGTGAACACATTTAATGCAGGGCTTTTTATCCTCTCCAAATGTCAACAGTATTTTCAGAATAAAACCTATGAAATCTATTGCTGTAGTGGAAAAGTCTGGTCCTTTGTATTTTATTGTCCGTTTGAGTGGATAAAGAAAATTCACCCAGTTTGTAGTTTCTATATTTCTGTGAACCGTTTGACCTTGCAATGGGTTGCAATAAAAGAGAAACAAAACTCCATGTCTTTTGTTTTATGTTAGACACTAAATGAGCTCCCTGTGGTTGGTTGGGTGCGAAGCACACAGTCCTCTGTGTCCATGTGTGTCCCACCACAGACTGCGTAGCTTTGACTAACCCAGAATGATAAACCCGATTCAGAAACAAGACGAAAACCTCCTAAGTGTAAGCAAGTGAATTGTTTCAAATCCCATTTTATATGTGGTTACTCATTTACTTACTCGTCTATCCGTCTTCCCCAAAGGCAAGTAAATAAATACGACACTTAGTGAATAGCAGCTGCGTGCTAGGTACAAGGGATTTAAAGATGAATGAAACTCATTCCCGCTTCAAGTTGCTCGCACTGAGTAAGACAGCAGCCTGGAAAACAAGCAGTGAGGTAGAGCGCAGCGTAGACAGTAGTGGGTAGGAGGATGCAAGAAGCTGTCGAAGCTCAGGCATGGATGAATCCGTGTCAAGACGTCCGAGTGACTGTGCTAAGTGTGTGCTTAAATAGACAGGGGGAAGAGATGCTTGGGGGGAGGTATCATCAGACCACGAGCCTGTCTGAAGTCATCGTTTATTACTGAGATAGCAAAAGGAGTATAAGTGAAGACAATACAGAGAAACTCTGTCTTGGAAAAAAAAGTCAGAAGTCCGAGCTAGAACCTCACACCGAGAGTCATCACGCCTAGTGATGCTATAAAGTAAGATTGGTGTGATAGGTGACCCCTGGGGGCTGGCAAGTTGTCTCATCAGATAAAGATGCTTACCTCCACATTGGGAGTTTTTAATAAGTACAATTTTAGTAGTTTGCTAAGGACAAATCCTTACTGCACAGAGTCTAATTTCTGTGAGGTAAGTCTAAATATTAAAACTACACAATTATAGGTAAAATCTATAAGCCAGTGAAATCCTAAATACAACTTAGCAGTTAAACTGCCTTAACATTGCTTCTTAAAAAAAAAACCATAGAAGTAAGTCCTAGAGTCCTTATAATCCTATAGTCCCTATAGTCCTAGCCATATAGGCAAGTTTGGTGAAAGCCAGTGTTTGCTTCCAAGAAGGCACCTCAACCACTGTGACCTCAACTGACTGAGGCTGGGGGAAGACTGCCCATCCCCAGCCTGAGAAGACCTTGGTGTTACTGCCTACGGGGGAAGATGCTGTGTGACTCTCACATCCTTGTAGCTCGCACAATATTCTTGTTTTTGAAATAAACGTTCAGCATTATCTTTTGGAGGAGATGCAGACATTCAAAATGCAGTTTGCATTAACACAAAATGAGAAAATAGTGAGTGGTGCTTTAAATGGAGACAATGAAAATGTTCGAGAAAATTCATTTTTATTTCCATTAGAAAATCTTAGGAAACTAATACAAATAGGGCACCTCCTTAACCAAAACCCTGGAAAAACCATCAGTCTACAGTGAAACCCAAGGAACATTTTCTCTGGACCCAAGAGGACTGTTTGCTAGTATTACACTTCCAGTTAGCATTTGAAGTGAAGATCCATGGCGGCATAAAATCATTCTTCTAGAATGGGAGAAACAAATTCTGAATTAGGTATATTAATAAGAGTACCAAGACAATCAGAAAGTCCAAAGGAGTGCACACGTTAAAATTAACAAAACAATCTAAGAGTTGTTTGGCTGTAGTGCTGAAAGTGTTCACTTTTATCTTTGTAGACCAGTGGTGAAGTACAAGGGAGTGACTTCTTTTTAAACCCCTTACAGGTGGAGAAATAGCTCCAGCATTAAAAGCATTTACTGTTGTTCAGGACTGGGTTCCATTCCCAGCACCCACATGGTAGCTAACAAAACCACATAACAGCAACAAATACCTAGAGTCACATCCCTGATGCTGGGAGTGAAACCCAGGTTCTCATGAATGCTGGGCAAGCATGTAACCAAGCTTCATTCCCAGATCTCAGCAACATAATCCATAACTGTAGAAAATTATCAGGCCATAATAGTTGACAAAAAAATTGAGGTGTGTGTGTGTGTATGCGCACCCATGCACCTGTGTTCATGGATAGAAATTCCAATATCTCAAACATGTTAGGAGACAGCTCTTGAAGGACATTTTCATTTCTGTACATCTTGAGAACAGGTGCTCACATGCAAAAAATAACGATAAACATTTATAAAATATCAGCGCAGTTAAACTGGTGGCCCTATTATTTTTTAAAAAGGTTTATTACAGATAAAGTAAACATTAACAAAAGGCCAAAATTAGGATACAAGGAACATAACGTAAAATCTAAAATCTTCATGATATTGTGGACTTCATTCTAGTGATCCCCAAAATAGAAATGAAAAGTGCTGCCTATAAAAATGATTGGGCATCCTCTTTATATTAAAATGAGGAACTCCTGCTCTTCAAAAAGCTAAGATCAGAAGCTACCATGAAATATCTGTAACACAGAACTTCCAAGAATGAACAGTACTCAGAGTATGTGAAGATCTTTGGTGTCCAGTTAAATATGGACAAAAGACGTGACTAGACATTTGGCAAAAAGGAAAATATATCTGCCCAAATAATCATGTAAAACATCCTCAAATTTATTTGTGTTCACATAAATGCAAACCCCAAGATACAAAGTTCATGACTGATGGCAAAGCCTCTCATGACTACGGAAAAAATAGCGATGGAAATGCTTACTACTCATGCTTGGTCCCTTACCTGACAAAAGTGGCCACGCATGCAACCATTCCCTCACGGGTGTACCTCAGAGAAAAGCGTACACACGTGAACCCCTAAGGCAGGCAGGAGAAGACACATAAGAGTGACAGTCATGAGCAATAATTAATAAGGGTTTGTTTCGACTTGTCTTCTTTGAGACAGGGTCTCTCTCTTCATAGCTCTGGCTGTCCTGGAACTCACTATGTAGACCTTAGAGATCCTCCTGCCTCTGCACCCCAAGTGCCGGGATTAAAGGTGTGTGCACCATGCCTGGCAATTAATAGTTTTTATTAAATAAGACACACGAGTGAGAATGAATCTCAACTTGGTAGTCGATGAATCGTAGAGGTACTTGAGTGAAGGAGGCAAATCCTAACAGAAATGTTTAAAGCTGTGAACGCCTTTTAAACTTCAAAAACAGTCAAGATCAAATAGTATGCTCTTTGATACACACGTGTATTCAGAGAAGAAGAAGAAAAAGGTGATGGCAAATGTTCATGCATTTGGCAGAGGGCAGTAGAGTGAGAATATCGAACTGAACACGAGTTAAACCAAGGAACTGTCCACGCTTCTAATACAGCACTGACTGCATACAGGGCAGACGCAGAACAGCTTCATTTTCAAATACTCACATTCTAAATGGTGGGAAGGCTTGTGTCTGGTTTAAACTGGGGAACCGAATGGCAAGACCTGCTAAACCTGTTAGAAAAGTTCCCACCCGCACAGCATAGACATTCGTTGTGAGGGAAACCGGCTTTGTATAATCTCGCATCTAAGCAGGTGGCAGAGATGGTACAGTCTTGTGGTCCTTCTGTGCTCTTGGCACAGCCCTGGGGAGCTTCCTGCCATCGCTGGGGTCTCAAGTGAACACCTATCTGTGGGGTGCCCAGAAGAACTCATGTGATGTAGGTATTCCATCCCTTCCACAGGAACCTAAGTGTCAGCACACTGATATTTTCTCTGCATTTTTCATTGGGTGGTAAACATGTATCAAAGCCAACTGGCAATATGATAGTCAGTCGTTGAAATGGGGAATAAGTTGGAGTCAAATCTACCCCGTCGAGTGAATAAACCCTAATTTAGCCATGTGACGGTCAGTGAATAGAAGGTTCATCCTAGCGGGCCTTCTGCTGAGGAGATAAGTCCTGCTTTCCTGGGATGTGTAGTAGACTCATTGCAGCTACACCAGACTTGCCATAGTGCAACCATTTGCAGGAATGTGTGTCCAAACTAAAACCGTATCTAAGGAGTAACCCTTCAGCGCGCAGTCCTTTGAGCGTCCTTGTAAGGATGCCAGTGGCTCGTGAAGAGAGAGAAACGTCCACAAGAGTGAGTACTGTTTGGTTCAGCTGTTTTATTCACAACAGGATGGAGGAGACGGTCATGCATTTCTGAAACGTTTTCCACAGTTTGGCGTCACTTGAAAGATCCAGAGATGAGAGGCATTGATGGAAAGTGGCCTGGGGACACTCAAGCAGGCTGATGGTGCTGGCTAACTTTTCTCTAGCCTGAGATCTTCCCGCCCTGTGCCTTGGGGGGGGGTGCACCATGCATGCACGCTCACACGTGCCCCAATCCGCCATTCAGCCATAAAAGATGCCTGCAGCATGCAGTCTATTCAACTTTCTGTGATTAACATAATAGAAAATGAAAAATAAGGCACTAAATGAAAGCGTTTGAATCAGAACAGTCTCACAAATAGATGCTGTCCCCAATGAGTCTGAGTGGCTACAGACAATGGTGATTAAAAAAAAAAAGGGCAGAAAGAAATTATACCAAATAAATGGAGAAAGCCCTAAAATCCTGACTTTTGTTGATAGAAATGTCTTTGTTGTATTCTTAAGCAGCAACTTGCAACTGTGTCACTTACTAATGGGGGGAGATAAACCATCTTGCTAATTATATTCAAATGAAGGTTTTATTAAACTGTTTCATCAATTCTATATCAAAAATTGAATTACAATACAGGATCCATGAATGTAGAGAGACAAACACTGAGAGGCACACTTGGAGATAACAAATAATTGAGCTTAATGGGAAAATTAAGCCACTGGCACCTACATTACTAGGTAATTCCGGTGACCGGATATGTTCTAAAGCAAACAGTGAACCAGCTTGTCTTGGAATAAATCTGTACTAATGAATATGTAGTCCACTCCCTCCCCTTTCTTCATGGCTGCTGTTGGATGTTACCAGCCCTGCTTCTCCTTCAACTTCACTCTGGAATCAGCCAGAGGCTAGAGTTAGGCATACATCTGCAGATGGCTCGGACGCACTTTGGCAGGTGAGAGGCAGTGGTGTTGGCCAGACACAAGTGCCTTACATGAAAAACAAC